ATCAGGAGGCTGAACCCTCAACAGTCTGCAGAATCCCCTCACTGATTACACTGTAAATGATAATCTACCTTAACCAAAATCAAAGTAGACTATCACTCACCCACACCAGATGGAAAACTCTACAGACTGTCGGTTCATATCATCACATAAATATCAGAACACAAATGTGAAAGAAAGAAAAAAAATGAGAAAAAATGAATTCAGTTTATTATCTTCTTCCTTATAACTCCCCCTGTTCAGAACCTCTTGCGTACAAGGCCGCCCACGTGGATGTAGGTTGAGCGGCGGCTGCCCCCACCCCCGTGTATCATATCGACCCACTTGCACACACCCAGAAGGCAAAGAGGCAAAGAAAAGAGGAAGGGAACAGCCAAATAATACAGAACAGGGGGCAACAAAACAAATCCCAGATGACAAGTCCCATATGCAAGCACCGCCCCAACTCACAGGCCAAACGACGGGACGAGACCAACCAGGATATCAAAACATTCTTGTCTGCAAAGAAAGCAAAAAGAAAGGCTCCGATCCCACTGTGACAACCAAAGAGAAAGAGAAGACAATCCTGGATGACGATTCCCACATACAAGCACCGCCCCGCGCTCAAAAGGCCGAACAACGGGAAACAACCAACCAGGATGCCCAATAACAGAATCAAAGCAGACAAGATTCACAAAACAAACATTCAACCATATCCACAGTAAAAAAACGGAACCATTCAGTAGGCCCGCAAAACGCAACACCCCAATCAATAGGGAAGATTAAAGAGAAGATTGACAAATTAAAAAATATTTTCTTCCATAAGAAAAGACAACGCCTGCTAGTACAGGCCCGACGCTCGCCGCCTCATCAGCAAAAGCAGAGAGCTAGCAACGTCGGAGTATATATCATCACATAATATATTGATCACGTTTGGAGGGTTTTGGCGCTTGATTGCGAACGTTCGGGTTCTGTAACTGAATGCCACCACGATGCTACGCAGGTCAACACATGATCTGGCCTTTTTCCTTTTCCTTTCCCCAACCTGGCCCATTGTTATTCTCTCTCTCTCTCTCTCTCTCTCTCTCTCTCTCTCTCTCTCTCTCTCTCTCTCTCTCTCTCTCTCTCTCTCTCTCTCTCTTTTCTTTTTTTTTGTTTCGTTCTCACGTGATCTATTCGCTCTAAATAGTAGCGACAACAGCAACACACCCAAACAGTTCACAGCAACAAAAGAAAAGCCACAGCAGTTCCATTCGGTCACATTTGTCAAGACATTCAACGGACTTGTTACAGCTGATTTACAACATCATCAAGCAGAGCAACTGCCAGATGGACTCGACAGCATGTTCCCTGGGGGGCACATGACGATGGAAAATATGCAGGCCTCCAGAGGCTCGCTAGAGGGCTTCGTCGGCTCTCGCTAGAGTCAAACTTTTGGACATATTCTGAACAACACCGCAGTTTCACAAAAAACTACACCCTCCACAAAGCGGCCAAGGGGCCTAGCTCAGTCAGTTAGTACACCCATGAAATGTCGAAATCGAGACCAGAGTTTGAATCCAGAGGTACTACGTCAATGAAACAAAACAATTCTGAATCACCGAGGGGCCGGTCACTTTTGAGGACGATCTGTCAAGGCCGTTGCACTCTTCTTTTATTTTATTAAAAAGAGAAAAGAAGAAAAGAGCCAAAACCTGCGCACGTAACAGCCATTTCCTCTATTAAAAAAAAAAAACAAAAAAAAAACAGCCATTTCCTCTAACCAATGAGTTACTACAGAGTCCAGACCTATGGCTACATGGATGGATTTTATTTATGGATCTTTCTATACCCACCTACATGTCAACCAACCTACCTATGTACCAACCAACCTCCCGACCTATCTACCTGTCTATATCACTCTATACCGCCTATTACCTGTATAGCCGCTCGCCTCTGTACCTGCGTCTGCTTATCCATCTGACTCTCTATCCAACTTACATATATTTCTGCCTGTCATTCTCTCTGTTGTCCTCTCAGCACAGAGTATACCCCCCTCTACCAGTGGAGTTTGACGATCACAGCACGCTCGATGTGGTAAAATGATCAATTGCCACTATCGTACATTCACTTCAGGTGATGTTCTCGATGTGGTTGCAGGCCAGCAACCATCTTCTTGGATTGGGCATGGATGACATGATGTTTCAGTAAGGTCAGCAGCTACCAGAACTGACGTTTGATTATTGAAAAAGGATTGGTGCACTGATAGGTTCGTAGTCTTGTTCTACCGTTAGAGAGGGGCCTGGTGCAGTTGGAACAGGTACAACATGAGAAAAGGTAGAAGCCAAGCCAAAAGGGCCAATGTCCACTGAGCCACAAAACACAACAATAGCTTCCAGATTGCGCACAGGGGCACATCATTTGCTTGCCCACTCCAACTCCTACCCTGACGCCTGCATGCAGCGATGGCTCTTAAAACCACTGCAGTACTTCCTAAAGTCGTGCCCGTTAATAAGCCACAATTAAAGTAAACGTATGGGTCACTACAGGAGCGCCCAAATTCATCCGACCAGAAACATTTCTTCTCTATTTTTCTCATGGCCAATAGCTGGGCCAAGTACTGGCGGTTTAATTTCTAATGATGACAGGTTGGCCCTGCAAGGCGTGCTTCACTGAACCTTTCCTGATCCACAGTCTTAAAGCACCAGTACATGGGCACCTGGGCCGCAGGCTTGACACCTCAAATTCTGGAGGCGCGAGACGAAAACACGACCGTCGATCAGATTTATCAACGGCGGGCCCAGCGTTCGACGTTTCGGCAAGTCGTTTTCTTGTGGCGACAAGTTCCAGACGGGGCCGTGTACTCGTGGTTTACACCACCAGTACACAGCCATACATCGGCTGTGGGCCCCTCACCACGGGGCTTTCGCAGGCCGGAAACGTGACAAAATCCGTTGATGAAATTTATCAATGGCAGCCTGTCCCCGAAATTTCCGGAGTGGGTGGCGAGGTTCTTTTCCGCGAGGCTGGGGCCATGTACTACAGGTTTAACATTGCGCCATTGGTGCATATGGCATGACAGTTGGAACTGATGCCCTCCAGTGGACTCCACAATTGTGTGGAAATGCTCGTGTCCAGGGAGATCAAACTATGGTACCAGAAAAGCAAAAGATTGAAATAACGTCCTTCGAAACATCCATTCAAATTGGAACGATACAGAGAAGATTAAAACAAATGATAATAGTATCGTAGGTTTTAAAATATGAACCAACAAATCGCACACCTCTCACTCTCCAAGACTTTGATCTAAGAGAATTGTACGGTACACACAACAATTGATTACGGAAACTTAGCACCATGTCTATGATTCGCGGAACAAAAGGAAATATCGTGCTGCTATAGGTGTTTATAAAACTTTCCATTGACTAACAAATGAGACCTCCCCTATGCATGCAATCATGCATTTTGTTAGCGCGACAGCAATGATCAAATCCTTTTCTTCTTTTTTTTTTTTGGACCATTTCTCTATTTATGCGAGCGATCCTTGTGCAGGGGCCATGCTGCTAATCTTCTCTGCGCCGTTCCGGTTTTAACGGATGTCCTGAAGGACGCCAAATCCATTTTGTTAAAGGGAAGAAAAGTTGGAATTCCCAGGACCACGCAGACGCTTCGCGCCTGCACTTCACACCAGCAGCAATTTGGACACAGAGGTGTCCGTATATCAGTACCATATATCAGTACCATATATCAATACCATATATCAGTACCATATATAGATGTTTAGGGGGGGTGAAAAAAAAAAAAAAAAAACAGTACCATACATCAGTTCCATTTTGGCAGCGTCTCAAGAGCTCCATTGTCGATTGGCGGTTGCATTTTGTCCAAGTACACATACCCAGGTGGGTTTTTTGGGCCGTCAACAAGAATTCGTTTTGTGTTGCGGGGTGAAAAAGTAGGAGTTCTGAGATTCAGTCATTCGTTGATTTTCGCTAGCTGATTGATTGATTGATTGATTGATTGATTGATTGATTGAAGCCTGTGCATCGACAAGACGTACCCATAGGTTCTCCATTTAACATTTCAGCGACCGACTTTGCCACCCGCTTGTTTGCAAACTCCACCCACCTGTTTGGCAAAATAAATAACGACATTTAGAAAACAACCAAGGACAAAAACAGACAAACATGCAAAGCAAGTTGCCTCACCGGACTTCACAAGAAGCCACACATCAGCTGCACAACTCAACCAAGATCAAATCGAGCACCACAAGGAAACAGACTGTAAGAGAATGCGCAACTCAACGACAGGTCAAGCGGGGCACAGCGAGGGTCATTAAATTAAGAAAGAACGTGGACGGTGGAGAACGATCCATGTGCGCTCTGACAAAAAGCGGTGGATCGCCATGAAAAGCATCCCTTTTTTTCTGAAGTTTTCCCTACCCTTCTTTCGTTGACAGGGGATGAAAGACGGAGAGTCATCTGCTTTGGGGCGATCAACGCAGTAGTATCAAGATCAACCTGGAACGCAGTGGTGTCCTTTGGTGGAGGGTAGACCGTCCTACCGTCTTCACCCGAATAGGAACACCCGGTCATTGTCGCTGCATCTGGACTGAGAGTTGGCCCAAATGCAGGCATAATTAATTGCCAGGCTTTTCTATTTGAGTGAAGACAGTGAAGACAGCAGAGCATAGGTACAGTCGGGATCGCTGTAGTAAGTCGGGAGGACATATAGGAGAGGGAGGGGAGTTGTTCTCTACCTCAAGAAGCCCACCAGAACAGGTAAGCGCCGTGTAACTGTGGGACCCCCTCCCTCGGCTGAGTGCATGGTGCGAAGACGCTTTGTGTTGGGGTCTGGGTTCTTTAACCTACCCCCATGCCATGTGATCTTGGCTGATGTCATGTTTTTTTCCCGATATAGCTGGATGCACTGTGACGAGGCTGAGGCAGAGCAGCCTGGCAGGTGGTAAAACCCGTGGACCAGGGATCGAGCCCTGGCTGAGTCCGTAACAAGCACACTCTGCATGCTTCTTTTTGCAGACTGCTAACTCACCTGTCACTTGTTGGATGTGAATTGTCTTATTTTGAGCATTCCCCCCCCCCCCCCCCCCCCCCCCCCTTCTACCCCTTACCGAGTAAAGGCTCCTCCTTCATTTTCTCCAGGAAGTGGATAGGGTTTACCGGCCTAGCTGGGGCTACCTGGGGTTACCTGGGGGCATTCGTACCCCAGTGGTAGATTATCCCAGTAAGGAGAGGTTTGTAAGCATCCTGTTGTGTGTTTGTTAATTAAGATCATTTGGGTTTAGGGTTCTTGTTTGTTCTTTTCTGATGATGTTAGAAAAATAACCCCCTTTTCCGTATTACAAGCCCAGATGCATTGCAAGACGAGCAAGAATGATGTGGATTTTCTGATGATGTTAGAATACCCCCCTTTTTCGCATTACAAGCCCAGATGCATTGCAAGACAAGCAAGCATGATATGGATACACTAGCTCGTCATTGAGAATGGCAAACCACCAGGCCATGCTACCTTCTTTCCCCGAACAGTACACAAGACCATTATATCTGAATTTGGGGCAACTTTCAGTCCAGACACAGTGATCATGACCGTACATTTTATTCGGGGAAAGACTATAGCGCTTATACTTCCGCCAGTATGCAGATATGGACCTGTCTCTTATACACATCTAGATGTGTATAAGAGACAGGGGTTAATCTTTATGGTGATTTTGTAAGGCGAACACATGAACATGTTGGGAGAGGAACAGAGAGACACCCACGTGTAAAGACGTAATGGGCATGGCAAAACCTGAGAAAGGACTGGACTCTGCACACCACTACGAGCTTCTTACTTTGAACAAAAAACAGGCCGAGAGAGAGAGAGAGAGAGAGAGAGAAAGAGAGTGAGTGAGAGAACTAGACTCTGCACACCACAATGAGCTCGCTACGTTGAACAGAGAGAGACAGAGAGAGAGAGAGAGAGAGAGATCAGCAACACCCTACTACCACCACGTACCCTTCAGTGTAATGCTTCCCTCTATCACCTCCAGAGCGCTTGCGATGCCTTCTGACCATAGCCTCTAAAACCACACCAGTCCGTCCATACGAATATAAAATCAATTAATCTCTGAAGAAAAGAAAAAAAAAGGATTCAAAAAAAAAAAAAAAAAAG